AGAATAGAATAGAATAGAATAGAATAGAATAGAATAGAATAGAATAGAATAGAATAGAATTCTTTATTGGCCAAGTGTGGTTGGACACACAAGGAATTTGTCTTGGTGTAAATACTCTCAGTATACATAAAAGAAAAGATACATTCGTCAAGAGTCAAGAATCATAAGGTACAACACTTAATGATAGTCATAGGGTACAATAAGCAATCAAATCATACTAGGAAACAGTCCATATAAATCGTAAGGATACAAGTGACAAAGTTACAGTCATACAGTCACAAGTGCGAGGGTGAGGCGATAAGGAGTGATGAGAAGATTAACAGTAATATTGCAGACTTTGTAAATAGTTGAACAGTGTTGAGGCAATTATTTGTCTAGCAGAGTGATGGCTTTTGGGGGGAAAATGTGAAAAATGGTCATAAGCCACTTTTTTCAGTACCATTGTAACTTTGAACAGTCACTAAATGAACTGTTGTAAGTTGAGGACTATGTGTAAAAGAATAGGGAAAAGGAAGAAGCAACACAGATTTAATAATATGCCATTTGTTTAAAGTGCCAAAACATTTTTTTTGGGGGGGGGGGGAATAAATTAAAATTTCCTGACTTTTTTTTAATTGCTTTCTGAACAGCACATAGTCAATTATGCCACTTTTGTTGTTTGTTTTTCCTAAAATCTCTTTTCCTTTCTCAAACTTTACTTAGCGGGTCATCTGACATTTGAGTGCCGAAACTTTCTCCGTGTAGATCCCAAAAGAGACATTGTTTTAGATGTGAGCAGCACAAGCAGCGAAGAGAGTGAGGAGGAGGAGCTGGGAAAACTTGATGCCGTTCCAGAAAAGCAGGGTAAGTTTGATTGTCTCATATTTGTCTCTGTTGTTTTTCTTTGGCAATTTTCTTTTCTGAACAGCGGCTTCCTACGATGCTGTCAGGATATCTGCCAGAAGAAAGAAAGACCTTTTTCAATTACCTTTGCAATTAGTCCTTCAAGCCAGATGGTTCCTAGTTCAAGAATCACTAAAATCTTAATTCCTCTAATTTACAGGTATTCCAGATGAAGAAAAGAAAAAGACCCAAAAGAAGAACAAGGAGAAATCAAAATTAAAGAAATCAAGAAAAAGGTAGCAACACTGAGGCAGAAGTATAGGTAGTCCTTGCCTTATCACAATCCATTTAATGACCATTCATAGTTACAAAGGAAAAAAAACCGTTGTACCATCCACATGATCAAAATTCAGACACTTGGCAACTGACTCATTTATGACGGTTGCAGTGTCCAGGGGTCATGTGATCACCTTTTGCGGCCTGCTTACAAATCAATGGGGAAGCCAGATTCACTTAACAACTGTGTTACTAACTTAACAACTGCAGTGATTTACTTAACAGCTGGGGCAAGAAAGGTCGTAAAATAGGGCAAAAGTCAATGCTTTGCTTAGCAACAGAAATTTGGGTCTCAATTGTGGTCGTAGGTCAAGGACTACCTGTAGTCAAATTGCTAAAAGCATATGATGATGCTCTGGCAAGCCAGACAATATATTATTCTATTAAAAGAAAAAGAAAAAAAAGGAAACAACATTTTGAGATATTGAAAAGTTCCTCATAGTACCTACTTGGCTGGAGAAATAGTCCAAAAAAGAACATTGTTTTGGGTAGCCCAACAATCCTTCCTTGGGCAATATTATATTAAACCATAGTGTGGTTGCAGGAAACTAGCCATTGTAGATTGAGTAGACCATGTTTAATCAAGCTGTAAATCATAGTTTAAGCACAATGTGTGACATTAGTTATAGAACAGGTTCACTAGAAAGAATGGGATCTATATTAGTCTGGATGCAACTCTTAAATTTACTACAAATAAAACAGTTTTAAACTACTTTAGCTTGATTGCAGTTTCAGAATTCAAGCAGAAGTGGCTAAATTGTTCTCTGCTCCATTTCTCCTCTGTTTTTATTTAATGCATCTATACTTAACATTTTTGCTCTTTTAAAGAACTAATGTCTTAGTTATCTTAGTATAAGTTATCTTAGTATAAGCCTGAGCCTGTAGATTTTTTGTCTATTATATGGGTGATGCCTTTTAGAAAATTGATTCCCTATTAATATACTATCCCCAACCAGAGGATAGTTTCTCAAATAGAGAAAGACTATAAAAGTAAAAAAACTTAAGAAAAGTCCCTTTGGTGTATTTAGCTACAGTAATTAGGTTTACCAGAAGTTTTATTTTTAGCATCTACTGTTTTAATTACATCATAAACTACATTTATAATCCTGTATTTTATAGATCTCATTCTTCAAGCATCACAGAAGACGATGAACCTAAATCAAAAAAGCAGAAATCCCATAAAAAAGAAAAGAAGAAAGTGAAAAAGAATAAATCTAAGAAAAGAAAACATCATCACAAAAAGGGAGGAAAAAAACACAAAAGAGGAAAAGATTCTTCATCTTCTGATAGTTCAGATTCTTCTAGCAGTGATTGAAAATCAAGACTTGATTTACGTCAATCCTAGTTCAAATAATGCCGCAAGATATATACTCCTTAATAATTTATTTTAAAAATCTCTTTGTATTAAACTCTTTTTTTGGTGAGGCGGGAGGAATTAAGGTTTTCATTCTCCTTTGTGGGTTTCAATCTTTATTTGTTCTTCCTGATTGAAAATTTTTTGAGATTAAAATCTTAGAAGTAATTGTTACTTCTAAGATTTTAATTTCTCAAGAATTACAAATTATTAATGAACAAAATCCAGTAATTTTAGTTGTACAGTCCTATGGTTTTTTTTTTTTAAACACTTCTGATAATCAATGGGCACCTGCAAGAGACTGCTGTTTTGCAGATCCCATTTACTTCCATTTTAGGTCCTGGAATGAGAAGAAAAAAACCCCAATTCCATGGCAGGCATTTATGTCCCTTAAGTGGGAACACCTGGAAAAGTTCCACTTGCATCATTGTCTGTTCCAGTAGAAAACTAGCAGAGCATGGAACCAGTCATTTCCCCTCTTTAAATTCTGTTTTTTTTCCTGTCCCATGGAAATGTTTTGTCATTGTGTTCTGTTATTAAGATACATGTTCTTTTATACATTTTTAGTAAAACTAGAAGGAAGTATGCTTAGAAAATTTTGAAACATGGTCATTGCTAGTTAAAGCTGATGGTTCTAGAACTAATTCTAAGAGTAATTAGTTCTAGAATCATTAGCTATAACTAGCAGTGATTGTATAGTGTACAGCATAGAATGGAAAGAAGTGTGAAGTTGTTGAAAGGCTGTTGTAGCATATTATAAGCGCACATGGTAGAAGCATCTCTGGATCAGGATATAAGTTTGTGTGTAAATATTGGGAACTAAATGAGCAAAGTGGGCATAGATTTTTTAAGCAGCAAGTGGTGGGTTTTTTTCTAGTAAAACCTGCTTTTTGACCACTTGAACTAAAAATGAAAACTATTTTTAATGCTGCTTTTTTATTTCCATGTTGTTTCTTGCCATTTGTTTGTATAGATGAAAAAATAATATATACTTTTTTGTTGGACCAAAGAACTAAACCTGATTGAATTTGTAAGATAAATGATTGCTTTATTCTGCTTAGTTTGCTGATTTTTTTTTAAAGGTCATTCTTTTAGCACCAAGTGCTTCCTTTTTCTACTAGAAAAATGGTGTGCAGTGGAGGGGAATACCTTCTATATTTTCAGTGGTTCTGCCTCATTTGTTTTGAGGCTGTTTATATGATATTGCAGTATGTGCCAATTCAGAGTAAAAGTTGCAGATGTAACATTAAAAATGTTATCTTTGCAACATATACACAGGGGCTAAGTAAAGATGCAGCATATTAGATTCAAAGGGAGAAAAGTGCTTTGAAGTACATAGTTACATAGTTGAGCAGCAGTTTGTAATATTGTGGCAATTAATTCTTAATGGCATTATATTAAATAATTCCCCATAGGCCAGTAACTCTTCTGTTTGCAGACGGGCATCTAAGAATTCAGTTTCCTGTATAGACAGTACACTACCTCTTAAACTATCAAATTGTGTATCAGATATTGACAGGCACAGTAAGAATTCATTAAAAAAATAGCTCAGGAATTTAAAAAAAGATCTGTCTGCTCACAATAAATCTTCAAATTAAATGGTAGAAATTAATGCTTGCTGTTCCTGGACATCCCTGCATCATCAGACATAAATAGTGTTTTGTTGCTGACACACACAAACACATAATGAAACTGTTCACAAATCTGTAATTTTGTGCTCAGAGTTGGAAGTAGGATTGCTTTATTCTACCTATGGCTGGACTATTTTTAATATAAACCCATTCCATCCATGGAACAAATAGTGTGTGGGCATGAATTGACATGGTCAGTGAGTTGACATTAGGTTAGTTAAATGGTGTTTAAACTAGTGAAGTTCCCACTGCTGCCACGTATAATACACTCGAGAAAAAAATGGCTATCAGCTCAGAAAAAGATGAGAGAGATTTGGTTCATGTTGCATTGAGATACTAAACTAAAATATTCTATTCTGTCATTAATAGCAACCATGATATTGCTATTGGAATCTATTGCTGAAATGTATAAGCCAAGAGTGACTGGCAGCTAATCATTGGCCCAAGAAAAGGTGAGCTGCTTGCATAAAATAATGTGGGAGGTGGGTTCCTCACCCCCAACAACTTACTATCTTAAACAGCATGTGGTTGCAGTTGTCTGGTTTCACACATTAGGCTAAACCATAATATTATTGGTGAACCCTGACAGTATCTTAGTGATTTATTATCCATTAGGTTTATATGGCTGCCTATATCAAATGCTCGATTCTGAGCAGCTAATAATTAAAAGCCATAAAGTAAATAAACCAAACCATATATTAGCAGTCTTGTCTCTATTTCAGAGGGATTAAAGCCAATAAACATGGACTTTATTTTCTCAGATCAAATTGGATGCAACTGATTGAAAGCAATTGAATCCAAGTGCTGCTTTTTTACTGTGTATAGCTGTCGCTAACCAGTTAGGCATATAGTAGAGAAGCAACCTTGCAAAAATCTGGCAAGCATGATGACTGTAGAAAAAATGATCCACATAATCCTAGGTAATTGTCAAGGCAGTAAGAATAATTGTTCTTAGCAGCAGAGTACCCCTTCTAAACAGCATTTTCTTATATCTTCAGAAGGTCTGAAAGAAGAAGGATATGCTACTATGGAAGACTAAAAGAACCAAGGAATAAAATCCCCAAATCAGGGTCAGGGTTGTGATTCACTCTGTCTCAAAAGATTGACAAAGCCATGTTTTAAGGGCTTTCTCAAGCAACAGGGTTGGGGATGTGTGGGTTTTGGGGGAGAACCATGACAGGGTTGGGGAGAAGGCTCTGAGGTCCCAGAACACTGCAGCATTTTAATGATGAGGTCTGAACTATGCTCCACTAGATCTAATAAGATGGGTAGATGTATTGGGAGTTGGGCAGTCCTGCAAGTAACCAGGTCTTGAGACCCAGCGGGTTTTATACTTTTTCTGTTTGTACAAACAAAATCTGATGTGTTCCAGGATGGCAAAGAAAGGATACTGATCTGTGCCTGTTTTACAGCTGGAGCAGGGCTGTCAAACTTTCAGCCCGCGGGCCGGATGCATCACGTACTGGCCACGCCCACGCCCGGTTTAATGAAGGGGGGAAAAGTCCAGAGAAGTCACGTGATGTCGCCGTGACGATGTGAGTTTGACATCCCTGAGCTAGAGAATCTGCTATGAAAGGGAGAAGCACTCTCAGTGCCACCTTTTGGGTATTGAATCCAAAGCATCATATGCTCTTACCTGGTGATTCTTTATAGCAACTTTCCTTTCAGATACTTGTTATATCTGCTGGTTATAGAACATCTTATCAGGTTATCCCACCTCCTTTACATGGACAATTTGAAATTGTTTGGAAAAAATACCATCTGAAATGGATTTGTTGCTCAACAATATCTGTATGTATAGCCAAGATATTGCTATGGAGTTTGGGCTGGACAAATGTGTCACACTGACCATCAACAGGGGGAAAATAGTGAAAATGGATGATGATTACAAATACTTGGGCGTCCTTCAAGTTGACAACAAACACACTGAAGTCAAGAAAAAAAAAGTGGAGAAAATACCATCAAGGCAATTAACACTTAGGGCAGTTCCGGTGATTAAATACATGACCGGAATAGTGGAATGGACTTAAGCAGAACTAAAAACCCTAAATAGGAAGACCAGAAAAATAATGACAATGAATCATGCCTATAATCCATGCAGCGAAGTTGAAAGACTACTTAAAGAAAATAGGTGGGTGTGGAATGTTGAAGAAGAAAAGGTCATTGGAAGAAAATTTGAAGGACATTGAAGAAGATGCATTGAAGCTAAAACACCACCAGGGCTAACTGAATTGTGGAGACACCAAACTGCTACGAGAAGGAAAATTGAAAAAGACGAGCTAATCCTGGCTACACAAAACCAAGTCTTAAGAACAAATGCATAGAAAGCCACCTCTGCAAAGAAGCTGAAGAAACAGTGGACTACCTAATTAGCTGCTGAGAGAAGATTGCACAGACTGACTACAAGCATGACATGTAGCAACAATGTTACACTGAAAAATCTGCAAGAAATACTGTTTGTAAGCAAGAACGGATAGAACCATAAAATAAACAAAATAATAGAAAATGAAGCCAAACGTTCTCTGGGACATTAGAATCCAAACAAACTGGCAACTTATGCAGACTTAACAACTGTCAATATGCAAGATAAAAAAAAAAATCTGGATAGTGGATGTGACTGAAGACAGCAGAAGAGAAGAGAAGAGAAAAAAATGAAGAAAATCACAAAATGCAAAGACTTCAAATAGAAGTAGACCGACTATGGCAAAAGAAAGCAAAGATAGTCTCAATAGGCACACCTTGGGTACAATGCAAAAGTAATTGGAACACCACTTGAACATTATTGGCATTGACAAAATCACCATCAGTCAATTGCAAATGGCAGCTTTACCTGCAATACCTTACATCCTTTAACACCATCAAACAACACCTGCTATCTCAAGTCCTGGGAAGGACTCAATAGATGAATAAAAATGCCAAATTCAGTCTAAACATCTGGCTGACTCTGTAATGAACAATTATAATAACAAAAGTGACAATTTCAAGAATTTTATAATGAAAGTCTTTTAAAACATCTCTTTAAAAATGTCTAGCTCAAGAGATTTTGAGTTAAGTATGGAAAACAGCATTTTGCATGTTTACAAGCTAAAATAAAAATAGTCAGCATGTAATGTTCTGCCTTTGTTTAAGTTAATTGTCACACACACTTCTGCAAGACATATAATTAATTGTCATTCCAACTAAACACTTAAGAAATGTGACCATTATAATTAAGGACTCTTAGTAATTCTTTGTGCTGTCAAGAGTATGCAGTGCCTACCTTCTCAGAGGGAAGAGATCACCAGATGTTGCCATTTTAGAACAGCTTCTAATTTTTGTGCCTTTGTATAAAGAAGTAAATAGCAAAGCAACAGATCATTCATGATGAAATCAACAAACATCAGCACAGCAATGCCCAGTCAAACCAATACTAAAAATGTAATTTGCATTCAAATAAACAAACTGAAGCAGGTTACCTGTAGTGGTATTGAATTATGCAGTTTTTTTTAAAAAAATGCTATTTTTGCATACCAATATAACTGCTATTGTACCATAGTTTTAATGTGATATAGTTTACTAACTGCTACAAGTTCATGTCGACCTTCCTCATTTATCAGCCGGAAGACTCAAATCCAGGTAATCCCCACATTTGTACAACATCTGCCCAACAACTTTAACATCAATTCCCCAAGAAAGCCAACTGGGTAGCTGAACACCCAGACATAGGAAGACACATAAATGACCCCAAGAAAAAGATGCCAGGCTTTGAACTATCACATCAACAATAGATAATGTTGAATAGGATTTGCACCTCACATGGCGTCTGCTAGGACTCTATATATAAATGGAGCACAGTATCTTCCCCTCAGTGTGACTGAGGGGTCCCACATCTAACTATAGATCACATTGTGATGGGCTGTAAGCTGAAGGCATATACAGGTCCATTGTCTGATTCTTTTAATATAAACGATGCTGTGCTTCACTGGTTAGATGATCTAGACCAGGGATGTCAAACTCAAGGATCACAGGCCAGATCTGGCCTATGGGGTGCTTAAATCTGGCCTGTGGGGCCAGCCTAGAAATAGCAAAGGACTTGCCTGCAGTTCAGTGGTGGGATTCAATTTTTTTTACTACCAGTTATGTGGGCGTGGCTTGGTGGACACGGCAGGGGAAGGATACTGCAAAATCTCCATTCCTTCCCCACCCCACTAACCTGCTTTCCAGCTCCGTTCTCCTGTGCAGGGCAACAAAAGAAGACCCAGCCAATCAGCTGGGACTCGGGAGGCAGAGAATAGATGGGGGCGGGGCCAGTCAGAGGTGGTATTTACTGGTTCTCTGAACTACTCAAAAATTCCGCTACTGGTTCTTCTGAACGGGTCAGAACCTGCTGAATACCACCTCTGCCGCAGTGCCTCTGGCAGCCAA